GTTTGAACCTACCACCCTCGGTATATGGGGCCGGTGCCCTACTTACTGAGCCACAGCACTGCCTGGGCTCTTGCTTTTTGTTCAGGCTAGTCTCAAACTCATGAGCTCAAGCAATCCACCTACCTTAGCCACCCAGAGTGCTAGGATTACAGGTGTGAGCCACTGCGCCCAGCTGATAGGCTCCATGTTAACAATGTATGGCATATGGAGATTTCTTCAAAGATTGTCAACTGGCATTTGGATCTGTCTAGGAAAGCAAAGGAAAGATAATATAATCCTAATATATTTAAGATTCTTAGTGGTGTTAAAATTTTCTTGCTAAAACAATACAAATCCTTAACATGAGTTCCCCCAAGAGTTCAGCAAAGCCTTTCTGATAAAAATGCTAATAAAAGTCAAGATGTAGATTGGGAGAGGAAGCAGTAATTCACTCATCTTAGCACCAGAGAATACCTCAATGGGTAGGTAGATGCAAATATGAAAAAAAGGTTTGGTGTACTTTACAATTACAAACAAGATTGTGAACCTATAGTGAATTAGACTATGGATATTCAAACATTTCTAAGTAGGAAGGAAAAATATAAAATCTTTATCTTGTCAGCATCCTATTTAAAATTTTAAGATACTGGGTTTGATTCTTGTTTTATCATTTTGATAGATATACTTCATAGAGTTGTTATGGAGATTAAGTGAGTTACTAGTTTTAAAGTAGTTAGATCCACTTTTAATCACAAAACTTGTAAAGAAAAAAATGGAGTCATAAAAGCTTAATTTTGAAAATGACTTTAGCATTTATTGCTGCTATGTGGGCCTACAATTTAGGAAGTCCTATTAGGTATCTTGAGGTGAATGTACAGATAAAAATGATTTCCCTTAAGTAGCTTACAGTCAAGAGGTGTCACTAACTTACAGATATCAGAACAGGTAGAGTTGAGCTTGGGGGAAGTATTAAAAAATATTTTACTATTAAATCAAGAAGGAATAGAAAATGTAAACAGACCTATAACTGCTATGAAGATTGAATCAGTTGTCCAAAACCTTGCAACAAAGAAAAACCCAAGAGACTGATGGTTTCACTGATTAATTCAGCCATACATAAAGAAGAATTAATGTCAGTCCTTTTCAAACTCTTCAAAAAAACTGAAGAGAAAGGAATGCTTCCAAACTCATTTTGTGAGGCCACTATTAATCGTGATACCAAA